TTTTCATTTGCACACTTTTGATTAGTCAAACTCTTGAATATACTATAGTATGAAATCTTGAAAATGTTGTACTTTGTCTTGGTATGTCACCACCTTATCTCTTATGCCACTTTGTCTTGAACTACAACCAAATGAAAGGACAAGAGAGAGAACAATAATTGATCAATTGAGTACTCTAATATTTTAATGTTGATTTGAAGTTTGGACAAGTGTCTTAATCATCATTTAGAAAATTAGGAGGTTGGTTTGGTATATATGAAGCCTAATACACCCCTATGTGTCAAATGAAGCAATGAGATAGTGATATAAAACTGACCAATGTTTTGTTTTATCTTATATTTTATAGCAGGTGATGATGAAAGAGTGAAGACAAATCAAAGGCAAAAACTTTGATGATGTTGTGAGGACAAAAAAGATTGGTTGTTGTGTAGGAGTAACACTTGTGGGAATAAGGTTTTTTGAAGGGTTTGTTAAAAACAACAATGCCCTCAAACCAAGTAAATCCCAAAAGGGAAGTATCCAAAGTCAAAGCTTGGATGAGCTTTCAAAGAAAGCAATGGAAAAGCTAGTTTAGTAGTAGTAGCTGAGGTGGTAATTTGATGATGTAACATGTATTAGTGGTAGCTTCTAGTGTTCATTTGGTGTTTTTGTGTGTTGTTCTCTATGTTGCTCAGATTCTTCAAAAATATCGTCGTCTGATGTGTATTTGATCCTCTAAAAGCTATGCTTTTTTGGAAGATCTGATACGAATGCGGCAACAATTTTGGAGGGTCAAAGCAATATGGGTTTTTCTTGTACATATATGGCAAGTATATATGTGTTTTAGGTGAATTATTATGAGAGAGATTAGCCTTGAACAAAATCAAGAAAAGTGCTAAACTCATTGCTTTTCTTCCACTACTTGTGGAAATGGATCATTGTATCAAAACATTTACTATCCAATGTAGTAAATGATTTTTAGAGAAATTTTCTTTGTGCCCTCTTGTTTGTTTACTCAAGTTCATATAATTGGAACAATACTTTTTCTAGGTTGTCTTTATTAGAAATTTCTTTTGTCCTGTTTTAATTTATGTGATAATATTTGAATTGATACGATTTTTAAGAAAGAATGAAAGACTTTAAAACTTATGGTATAAATTTAAATTCTTCATGAATAATGACTTATGTTGTACCAACGTCTACCTTCCTTAAATGACTTTTATCGTACCAAACATACTTTAACCATGCATAATTACAAAACCTATGGAAAGTAGTAAGTACTGGAGAAAAATTAGAGGAAAAGGTATTAATAAGATGCTTTACCTCCCACTTGTTCTAAACTTTGGATCTTTCTATAAAAAAGTGTTATAAAGTGATCACTACAATTTGCTTTTTGGCTTCTGTCCAAGAAAAGAATCATAATCTTATTTCTACATTTTAAAATAATTTAATTACTTTTTAGTAATCTTTTTGCAAATTAAAAGATGATAATGGATAGTCAAGACAATACTTCTAAAAAAGAAAAGAAATATATTATTAAAACTTTTATTGTTGTAGAAGCACCTCAAAAAGTTGCAAATTGTCTTGGGTCCTACATTACCTTAGGATTCTTTATTGACAAAATCAAGGCAATCTATATGTGGTGATAATAATAATAATATGATTTTTTGTTAATTTATTATCTATTAAAGTACATTGTACATTAAATATGAACCAACCATTCTCACACCTCTTTTTTCTCTTTCATTATTAATTATAGATGTTTTGGGGTCAAGTTTTGAGAATGATGTTATCATGATAAAAAGTATTTTAATCTCAGTGTGATTTCAATATAAATTTAAATTAGTCGAATTTAAAACGCATACGTGACAACGAATGAAAAACTAACAAAAAAAGAGATGAAGGAGCAATTCTTACTTTTTTCGGTTCAATAAAGAAAGTGACACTATCTTTTTTTTAAAAAATTAAAAAATTTAAATTCAAATTGTATTTGGTCGAGAGGGTGTTACCCTTATAATGAGACTATCCAATACGAATCGTGATTAATCAAGTTTCAAGTGAATATTGAATATCGTGTAAAAGTATGTCTTTCAATTTTTAATGAAGAGAGATGATAGGTAGATTGAATTGGACTTCAAGTTCATAGACAAATGGATTACAATTTCCCACCACAAACTTCTTTAGTATCCCCACCCCCTGTCGGTGCATATAATTAATATATTATTATAAAAAAAATTGTTACTTTATTTGTTACGTATAATAATAATAAATTCATATTGAGGATAAAATATTAGAAGTTGCTTGAGATAATTGGTCATGTCTTGCGTCGATATATAAATATATTGATTTGTTAGTGCGAAACTTTGATGAGTAAAAATGTTAAAAGAGAACGAGATTGACCTAAAATGACATAGTTATCTAAAGAGATCGACATTTTTTAAAAAAAATTTACTACAATTTCAATTAAAAACAAAATTACGATATAACATAAAAAGATCCATATATACGATGTTGTTGAGTTGTATTTGGTGATGTAACATATCTTAGTGATACCATCAAAAGTTGGTGTGGGTGTTAAGTATCTTTTCATTCTTAATATGAAGTTTCGAGTTTAACTCCTAAAAATGAAATTAACTTTAGTAGCAATCATTTTACCCTTAAAAGAAAGAACTTCCAAGCGCGAATTAAAGATTAATTGAGCTCAACACCGAAATATTATGAATACCTTTGGTTATAGCTCAAAGGTTTGGATTTGAGTCTTGAAAATGGTGTCATCTTTCGTAGTTATTGAAAACACTTTATTCCTAAAGTGAAATTTTTCCAATAAAAATTTAAATTAATCAAGCTACAAAGTAAATATCGAACTTGAAAAAAAATAATCATGCCCTTTTTTATGTAGAAACAAGTTACATCAATATATAGGATTAAAGAAATGATTTAACACATGCAACTATTTTTTAATATTTCATTTCTTTTTCCAGTATGATTTTTTTAGTAACATAAAGTTTCCCTTTTTAAAGAATTTTATACTATGTAAATTTGAATTAATCAAAAGCAATCGAAAAACAAATGTCAATTTTAATAATATACTTTACTTCAATAATGTCCTACTTATTTTTGGACTCTCACCAACTACTGACCAATATGTTGGATTGATATTGACATGTGGACAATCTTACCTATAAAATATAGTATTTTTAAAAAAAAAATAGTAGCAAAAAAGAAAATATAATTATCATGAATATAGCCTAATTATACGGTCCACATTGCATGCACAAACTCTCTTTTTTAATTATCAACAAATAGTTTATTTAATTTGATTAGTGTAGGTCCTTTGCTTTATTCAAGTCGTGAGTTTATAAAAAAAATATATATATATATATATATATTTTATAATAAGATTGTGTATACGATATGTCATTTTTATCTGACTTTATTTCTAGGACTATATTGAACATTTGTTGGTGTTATGGTTGGTGTAGGATCTTTGTCCCCGTCCTCAACAATTACTATTAATTTGTTTATTATTTGATTTAACTAGTTTCCTTTACTTATACATGTTCTAAACAATTGTTAATTTATTAAGTATTTAATTAGGCAAGTTTAAGTTCATATAAACAACAAAATGAGTGAGAATAGCAAGATTGAAGATAATAGATGAATTATAAATGAAATATCAAATTATTATGGTTTTGGTTCAGCTAACATTAACAACTGATTAACCTACTAAATATAATAAGTAATAACTAATCTAGTTTGAAAATATTGTATTTCGAGCTTTTGAAAGATTTTAACAATTTGAATTTGATAAATTTCCCAAAAATAATAATAATTCAGAACTACTTTTTTCTTAAAAAAAAAAAGAATAGAAGAAGAAGCCAATTAGACATTATTGTTTTCAAATATGAGCTGAGTTTTTTTTTTGTCGAAAGTAACTTCTCTACCTTCACGAAGTAAATGTAAGATCTGCATATATATCCTAATTCATAATTATATGATGATGCATCTAATGGTTTTGCTTGATTGCTTGTAGTGGAGTCTAAATGGGCTCTCATGGAGAGCTAAGGGTAAACCAAGTTTGGGCCTTGTGGTTACTTTTCCTAACCAAGAAATCTTTTCATTACTCTCCTTAAACATACAATTTTATTTTTTTAAAAGACGGAATGAGCAGGGAGATCTTATATTTAGTTTTGTTTATAAGTTGTTTTTTATTAATTTATTTATTACATTATATGGTATTGATATAAATCTAATGCTATATATTGAGAATTAGAAAGTCCTGTTAGAATTTGTAATATTCACACTTAAATACATTATTTAAGTGTTTTTTTTCTCTATTTTGAATTGATTTGGTGTAGTTAAGCAAACACGAAAGAAGTCTATAAAATAACTACTCTCTAAATCAACAACAACATATTTAGTGTAATTTCGTAAGTGTAGTCTAAGGAGGGGTGAAGCGTATGCAACCTTACCCAAAAGTAAAAAAAAGAAGTGGAAATTAAAGTTATTTAACTTATAGCCACTCTTAATCCGAAATTTAAATTTAAACAATATAATAGATAAGTTGTGAAGCTTTCCACTATGAAATGAGTAGAATTCAGTGCTCAAATTATTCGAGAAAAGTTTAAATTTATCCTATCTGACTTCTAATATAATTTTAAAATTTTCCTCAAATTAGAACCTCGTTAAGGATCATTAAAACATTTTTACCCCTAATGACGTAGTAAAATTAGACCAAAAATGGAAAATAAAAAGTAATATTCCAAAACACATTCAAATTATTAATATTTCATGTATTTCACATCTGAACTATTAATTGTTTTCTTTTTCAACTTGGTTATCATCATCTCAATATTTGAACACGTCTAATTGAATTGATAATAATAATAGTTCAAATAAAAAAATGAATAGTTGACAATTGACCCAATGAATACGAAAAGAAAACAACGAATAATTAAAAGCAAAACTCGAAAAAAATACAATAGTTAAAATGTGTTTTTAACAATTAACTCTATAAATTGATTCATTTTCGAAAGGAGGGGAAGAGAGCGGCACACGTAGTTACGCTTCAGACCTCAAAATTTCGACTGAAAAAAAACAGTTACACAAAGAGAAGAGAAGAAGAACGAAAACAAAAGCGAGAAAATTATGGGATCGACTGATTCAGAATTGGATTCAATTTTTCAGGATAAAAAGCGTCATCGTAATCGTCTTGTTCCGATCGGTATATTTTTGAAAAACCCTAATTTTTTTAATTTTTTTTTGTTTTTTGCAGTATTGGATCGTCTGAAATAGTTAAATTTTGTATTTCATTGTGATGCTGTCTGTATAAATATCCAATTGTTACTCAATTTGTAAGGTTTTAGTTTTCTGAGATTTTTCCTTGGTGAATTTGATTCATATGTGCGGATTGACCTGTGCTTTAGATTTGTCTTCAAATATATACAAAATTTTCAGATCAAATTGAGCTCAAACGATAATGATTATGTATCAAACTCAAACAAGAGGTTGGAGGTGATTGTATGAATCCTTGTTGTTTATTTAAGCTTATTTCACATTATCATCATACTAGTGAAAAATAATTGGAGCTTGATTTAGTAGTCATGTGCTTGAAGCTACTCTCATGAGGTTTTAGGTTCAAATTCCAACATGATAGAAACACTAGGTGAGTGAGTTCTTCCCATCTGTCAGAGGTGGCTCACCTGGTATCCGTTGCTGGTGGGAGGTGACAAGTATCCTGTGGAAGTAATCGAGGTGTGCGCCAACTGGCAGGGACACCATGGTTATAAAATGATGGGGGCTAAGTTCATTAATATGTAAACTTGCATCTTTGTGTTGGAGCTTGAACTCTTGCATTTTACATGATAGTATTTTCATTTTATGAGAATTCGTTTTGCTCCTTCCACTTTGCTCAATCACACACTACACATATTGTAATTTTGCCTTTGGTTTTGATGGGAAAAGGTAATTCCACATGATGGTGGACTATATTATCTTATCAATTCTGGAAAGCAATCAAATGTCATCATTATGTTCTGATTTCATATATTTAATACGACTAGAATTTAGTAATTTAATCACATCTAGTCACACTCCTTAGAGTTTGAAGCTGCGTAGGATCTATTTTTACTGTCATCGGATAAACTAATCGCACTTCAAAATGAGATTACTCACACTACTGTTTTGAATAATTACCAGGGATTGCCTCTGTACTTGCTGAATATATGCCACTGCCTTTTGGCTAAAATTCTTCTTCTTTCAAATAGAAAATTTGTACCAAATATTATGCTTCCTTTGTATTTCCCAGCTGTTGAAAGGCACACTGTAAATGAAATGAATTTTTGAGTCATGTCCCAAATGATCCTTAGGAGGATATTAAGACATTTTATGTTCCTGAAGTATTAGTACCTAATTTGTCGAAATATAGGAGGTTCTCTGGCTTGTATTCCCTCAGTGACCTTTCTCAATGTTTTCTTTAGGGGTAGTCCCATAATGATAGGGATGAAGTACGAACCTAGCTCTAATACCCATAGGTTATAACATTATCGAAGTTTGAAAGTACCCTTACTATTTTGGTGCTGATTATTACTACTCCTGGGTTAGTTTCTGCCTCGTTTAAGCTACGAGGTAATCCATCTTGCTGCAAAAGAGCACTTCAGACTCTGAGCTACTTTCTGCCTCTCTTAAGCGACACGATAATGTTTCTGTCCACAACACGCTGGCGCCCTTTTTGAAACAATGGGCTATTGAAACTCAGCTTCACATGATGCAGGTGGCTCGGCCGCTACGATGTGGTAAGCCCGCAGTCTCACCTGCAAGAACAGCCCAACGCAATGCAGTAGCGTGGCTCTACCACAATGCATTAAGCTTACAATTGAACCAGCAACTCTTTTTCTAGTTTTCTCTTTCATTTGTTCCCCACCTTGCTAAATTTGCTTTCAATTTTCAAGTTTTACCCTTTAGGCATGTTTTGAACATTATATAGGACTTGTTCAAGGTACAGGATGTTGCAGATTACTCTACGCATGTATGTCAATGATGGTAATTCAGCCTCGTTAATTGGATCAATAGCTGTTATTAACTCAAGCTATATAATATAACTTCATAGGTTTGTTGCTCAGCATGTCTAGTTTCTTCTTTATGGTCTTGTATGGAGTGGTAGTATATGTTTCTGCTTATAAGTCGAGGTCATTTGGTCTTTTGTTATGAATTCTCGAGAAGTGATGCATTTTCTGCTGCCTTTCTTTCCTGTGAGATATCGTTCATGTTAATCTTCCCAATCCCTGTCGATCATCCACTGTTTCAATGTTTTGGCTAAATTGTGGCTGAACACTCTTAACTCATATTCTGATTGTGCAATTTATGACTTTGCGAATTTTCAGGTGCATTTCTCACTGCAGGAGTGCTGACTGCCGGACTCATTAGTTTCAAGCGGGGAAATTCTCAATTAGGTCAGCAACTAATGAGAGCTAGAGTTCTTGTTCAAGGTGGTACAGTCGCACTGATGGTTGGGTCAGCATATTACTATGGAGATAATTTCAAGCGCGCTGGATGACTGACTGCCAAACGACTTCCTCATTCGTCTGTCATGAGTTGATTTCTGCAGGGAAAAATGATTCCATATCTTGCTAGGATGCAGTTCTTTGCATGGCTGTCATTGCCACCCTAACCACTTCTCCATCACATAGGAAAGAAAAAGAGAGGAAAAGTAATAACAGAGTGAAAAATAATGCTAATGTTTATGTGTTTTTTTAATTAATGGGGTGGACGTGACTTTCTTGCTTTGTATCTGATTTATGTGGTTTTAATTTTTATATTAGCTGAAATTGATTAAAATTGTGTGGCTTCTCTGACTCTTGAGGGTCAAATTCAAAAAGAAGAAAAGAACTCTTATTCGAAAAATATATCGAAAAAGGAGATATTGAGTTTGAACTTCATAAATCGTTCAAATTTCAGCAAATTTTCACATTTAGATTTTAGACTATAGTACAGTATGTTGAATTTGTTCTGTATTTTACCTAGGAGTATTTAAATTCGTATGATATTTCACATCTTATTTTTAGTTACATCTTAAATAGTGGCTAAATGTCACTCCATGACTTACTTTTCATTTTTGAGATTCAAATTATATAAAACTTTAATCAATATTTTAAAATAACATTTATCCATCATATTCACATGAGAAAGAAACACAATTTGTAATACTTTTCATTCTCTTATTAAATTTTAATTTTAAAATATTAAATTAATTTAGAAAAGCGTCACTTGAAAATTGACTATTTAAACTATCCTTTATGTTCTTTTATCTCGAAAGCTCAAACTTGAGATCAATGAATGGTGATGGTAAAAATTGACCATTTAAACTAATTTTTGTGTTCCTCTATCCCGTATGCTGTCCCGTAAGCTCGAACTTGAGACCCGTGGTGGGTTGGAAGTAATATAGATTTGAGGTTGCGGAGAGGAGCTAAATACGGGTAATTATAGTGACATGGTGGGTAGTGGGTTACCTTTTTGTTGAGCTACAGCCATGGAGGCAATTGAAGAAGAAGCCAAAAAGCGAAGGACAAGGAGGAATTGTAAAAAATTCTCAATTTTCAGAAGAAAAAAAAGAAAAGAAAGGTAACGCACAATAATCAAAGCCACGTAGCTGTTAGTATCATTCTTTTGTATACATTGCACGTGCCTTTTTTCAACTCTGTAACTCCGCCTAATGCCCAACATGTCGACACCTTTCCCTTTTATATATACTGTGTACCTTTTATTTCTCTATTTTTTTCTTTTATTTCCCCATTCAGATCTTGCATAATTCTCCTGGTTAGTCTAGTTTCAATTTTATCTTGATTTTGATGTGTGTAGATTTGTTTCTTGTTGTGTTTTTTTGAAGAAATGAAATTGATTTGATTGTGGAGGGGTACTTTTTATTTGATGGGTTTGTTTTTTTTGGCTAAAGTTTTGATCTTTTTCAATTTGGTTTCATCTGATCCAATTTAATTGTGCATTGCCAGGACTAGTGTATATCTTTGAATGTTGTGATTCTTTTAGTTTTAATCAATTGTTATGTGCAGTGGTTCTTGGAATGGATTTGTGTATTTTGAGGGAGTCAAGTTTGTGAGTTTCTTTTCTTATAAGCTTGTGTTCGCCTTGACTAATTCCACGGGTACTTGTTGTCGTCCTCCATCACAGAAACTCTGTCTACGTAGGCTTGGACAAATGGGAATAAATTACTTAGTGTTTATGAAGTGGTGGTTAGATTATCTATGGGGTGGAGGGTTGGTCGATCAAGAACTTGCACGTCCTGAAAATGAGCGTAGGGGAGAATGAGGATGTTGAGATGGATGTGTGAGCATATTAGGAGAGATAGAATCAACAAAGAAGCTATTCAGGACTAGGTGGGAGTGGCCTACATGGTGTAAGATGAGGGACGTGAGATTGAGATAGTTTGGGCATCTGAAGAGAAGATGCACATTTGCCCCAATGATGAGGTGTTCTGGTTGACTATTTGGGTATAAGGAGAGGTAGAGGTAGAACTGCAGAAATCTTGGGGAAAGGTGAGTAGACATGACATACCACACCTTTAGTTTATCGATGACATGATCATAGATAGGAAGATATGGAGGTCGAGGATTAGGGTAGAAGGTTAGTAGGTAGTCGAGCATTGTCTAGTTCCCTTATTTGCTGCAGTTACTGTATTAATCGTCGTTGTTGTAACCATTTTCTTCTTATGCTCTTTCAAAAACAGCCGTGTAATTGCTGATCTCATTGTTTGGTTTCTGTTTTTACATCTTCTTTACTGAACTTACTATATGTTGAATCCTTGCATTCATTCCGCAGATTCTGAGGATCAATAGTTAGTTGAAAATGTCTTCTCCAAGCAAAAGAAGAGATATGGATGTTATGAAATTGTAAGAACGTCCGAGATAAGATTTTCTTGCTGTCATGGATATATTTTTGTAGATTCTAAACAGTTTACCTGTTTCTTCATCGTATCTGATCAACCGGCATTTTTTAGTTCATATGGCAGCTTTTGATTACCAACATGTGGTTTCTTTATGTCATTTTCATTTCACAGGATGATGAGTGATTACACCGTGGAGACAATTAATGATGGAATCACGGAGTTCAACGTGGAATTTCATGGCCCAAAAGAAAGTAATGTCATGAAGATACTTGTTCTCTTTGTCTTTTATTGATTTCGTGGCTTTGCTGAAGGATCATCTTCCCCTAGATTGGCTTTCTCCTTCTTAAAGTTAGTTTTTGAAGAGAGGGCAGCAATTTTAATTGGATTAGTTTTTATATACGGTGATACAGCAATTTAAATTGTTTCAATTATGTATCTTAGTTATCTCAAAATGTCTGTTCTAACACTCATCATCCTACATTTTAGCATAAGAATAATAACCAATCAAAACCTTTATGCTCTCAGTCTTGGAAGTAGCTTTTCCACCAGAATCTTGCGCTTGTTGCTTTTCCCACAGAGCAGCACATTACATATTAGTATATGATATTGCTATTGGAGGTGCTATTTGCTTAGATAACTATGTTTCTTAGACTCGGGTGTTGATCTAGAGGTCGGATTCTTCATCATATAAATTTTTAGGATTCGACTCTCGTGTGCGGATACAGCCAATAAATGTATATTACGACATACACAAGTATATATTTTGACTAATTAAAGTTATTGACATACAACTAATGAAATTTAATTCCTATAAGCACCTTATATTTATTCACAAGTCTGGTGTTCTAGCAAAACATCTTATACTTTATAAAACTATAGATATATATAAACCAATAATCAACCCAAATACTTAATCAGTCTATACTTCTTAGTCATAGATGTAGTCAAAGCAGTCAAGACGTTGACCAAATTTGGTGTGGATCTCACACCCAAATCGTGTCCTGCCGACACGGGTGTGATAGGGATTTCGATGGGTCAGAGAAACATCATTAGATAATGCAGACTGATACATTTAGTTGGTTGTAAATATGTTTTTTTTCCCATACTTTGCTAACTATCTAAATCGTTACAGGCCTTTATGAAGGTGGAGTCTGGAAAATAAGAGTCGAGTTGCCAGATGCCTACCCTTACAAGTCTCCTTCCATTGGGTTTCTCAACAAAATATTCCACCCTAATGTTGATGAGCTGTAAGCTATATATACATTCTTTCTGTATTTTAAGCAACTACCTTTTTTTCTCTGTTAATCACATGTAGGAAGTTGCGGTAGATAGTTTGTATGTATGGTAGCCACAGTTTGTCTTTTAATCACTTTGTCGAACCTCTGTAACACAAGTCTATGTAGTTCATCTGAGGAAAATGTTAATGCACTATTGCTCACGAGATTCATCTGTTATTGCAGGTCTGGCTCTGTATGTTTGGATGTCATCAATCAGTCGTGGAGCCCTATGTTTGGTAATTGCATACTGCTAAGTGAACAAAGCATTAAGATTCTTAGGGTGAAAAATGCTTAATGGCATGAGCTCTTACTTCTGCGTAGTTTGTTTCACACGTATGCATTTCACTTTATCATATGACTGAAGTGTTTCTGCTCGAGGTTCTTTAAGCATAGGCTGTAGATATGAACTAATCGAAGACAAAAAAAAAAATTGTGCGGTGACACCCTGTAGGCTAAGCTTTATATAAAAGAAGCTCAACTCTTGTTCCACCGTTCAGAATATGTTACAAAACACCTTTGAAATGAAAATTACTGAACGTGTCATTCTTGGTTTTATTTAAGGCAAGTGTCATATAACTTAGTTGTCTTGCACTCCATATATCTTCATGTTGATAACATCATAAAACATTTATAAACTGTGAACTCCACGATATCTGACCAAGCATATGCTGGTGTGCAGATCTCTTAAACGTATTTGAGGTTTTCCTGCCACAGCTTTTGCTATATCCGAATCCTTCGGATCCATTAAATGGTGATGCAGCCTCACTGATGATGAAAGACAAGAATCAATATGAACAAAAAGTGAAAGGTGATTATTTGACAACCATGGCTGACGTGCATGTTACGAAGATATTATATGTTGCAATTCTTCTTTTATCTGAGAATGTGAAACCAGTGACCGTAAATCGTCTTACTTGTTGTTTCATGATGCAGAGTATTGTGAACGGTATGCAAAGAAGGAGAATGTCGTTGGCACACCAAAAGATGAGAGTGATGATGAGATTAGTGAAGAGGAGTTCAGTGGACAGAGCGACAGTGACGACGAAGTTGTTGGCCATGCTGATCCTTGAGTGAATAGACTAGGATCCTAAATGGAGATCATGTTTTTAGTTCATTATTCTCCGTACATGTAATATTTGATTCGTCATCGCATGTAAATCTAGGTGCCAAAGGTAGTTTAGGGACAATATACATAACCTGCAGATGTGTGATGAATTTCAGTCTGTGTAGAAACTCTCCACCCTATGGTCAATGTAACTTACCAATATATGTGTTAGAATTCAGGTTCTTGTTTTAAACTTGTCTTCGAACCTGATGTGTTCGTTATCTTTAAGGTTCTTAGCGTTGAATTCATTTCACTTTTGAAATTATGAGTTCAGAATTCAATATTGATTGAATTCATATATTATATTATGTTTAACTTGTCCTTGTTAATTATTTCATGAAAGGGATGTCTACAAGGTGCTTTATTTCTTAAGTTGTTGGTTACTACTCTAGAAGTTGAGCCAGCAAAAAGTGACATAATTAATTACCTGTACATCAGTGACAGATTATTTAGACTATTACTCCCTCGTCTCAAAATAAGTGTCACTTTAGAAATCTAAGACAATTGTGTATATTCTACCAATTATACCATTATACTTCACATTCTTAATAGTGTACATATTATTTCTTAATAGATGGGATTTTGCGTAAGGTGACGTTTATTTTGGGACGGAGGGAGTAATAGATATAACTAAGAGGGTAAAAAAGTTTATATTACCAATATTGCAAGTCTAATATTTTGGGTTACTAATCCCACATCTTCTAAATAGTCATAAACTTTAACACGATATTAGAGCAGCCAGATGTCATGAGTTTATGTCGCAGTTGCCACCTATTCTGAAATAAAATATGTGATCTATGTGTTTGATGGATGGTCTGAAAGAGAAAAAAAAGACAGTAGAGGATGAAGTTAAAGAAAAAATCAGCAGCCGGCCTGTTTTTGGATTTTAGTTGTTGTGTTTTCCGCCAAATGGCGCCAAATTAGTTGATTATCGACTATTCAAACATTGGGAATATCAATAATCATGACTGAATGATTCATCATATCTTTATTATCATCCTATTTTTGCAGCACATTTGCTAGTATCATGCAAAAATGAACAGAGTTTTTACTTTTGCTTTGCTCTTCATTTCATTCTTTTTCATGTTTGACACAACTGTATGTGATGAAACAGTGACCAGAGATGCATTGCTCAAGTTTCTTGCAGAGGTATCTAACAATAATAGTACAATTCTTGGTACTAATTCGGGCTGGAACTCGACATCTGATCCTTGCAAGGACAAGTGGCTTGGTGTTACATGTAACGCGAAGACTCTCTCCGTGGAGAAAATCATTCTTGATGGTTATGATTTTTCGTCTGGAACGTTTGATGTTACCACGATTTGTAATGTGGAGCCTATCGCGCACACCCTTTTCTTCCTGAGTCTGAAAAATGGCCTACTTCAGGGGAAAAACTTTGACAGTATAGATAAATGTAAGCATCTAAGACATCTTGTTCTTGGTGGAAACCGGTTCTCAGGTAGCATTCCACAATCATTTTCAAGATTGAATAACTTGAAAAGACTTGACATATCCAACAATAGATTATCAGGTGTTCTCCCTGATTTATCTAGGATTTCGGGCTTGATTGAATTCGAGGCTCAGAATAACCAGCTATCAGGAGAGATACCTGAATTTGATTTCTCAAACTTTGTTGTATTTAATGTCTCTTTCAACAATTTCAGTGGATCGATTCCGCCTGAGGGTGATAGTTTCCCTGTTAGTAGATACTTGGAAAATCCTCTGTTGTGTGGCTCCCCGTTGGCTGGAAAATGCTCATCACTGTCCGAAGATTCAGAATCAGCTGATCATGACAAGCCAAAGAGCAGCTTGTCAAGAGATGAAATTCTCATGTTTTCAGGTTATTTCCTCATAGGCCTGGCTCTGGTTCTTCTTATCCTACTATGCGTCTATAGAAAACGGAAGCAGAAGCAGCAGAAGAAGAAAGAATCAAGAATCGAGCTGATGAAAAAGGTTGCTACAGTTGATCATGACAGTACTACTACATCAATGGATCAATCAAAGAAAGGCGCGAGCAATTCAGATATCTCATCAGCTGTCATTTCTTCCGATGACAGCAACACCGCAGTTTCACAGTCACTCGTGGTTCTTACGAGTCCTGAGGCGAATAACGGATTGAGATTTGAGGATTTGCTTAAGGCTCCAGCAGAGTTGCTTGGAAGAGGGAAACATGGTAGTATGTACAAAGTGATGTGTGACAATCCCAAAATGACACTGGCTGTTAAGAGGATAAAAGATTGGTCAATAACTGGTAGTGAATTCAAGAAGAGAATGCAGAAACTAGACAAAATCAGGCATCCAAATGTGTTGCCTGCTGTTGCCTTTTATTCTTCTAGACAAGAGAAGCTTTTGGTCTATGAGTACCAAGACAATGGCAGTCTTCTCCTACTTCTACAAGGTAATTCACTCTACTAGTCTATTCTTCTGTGTATTGAATTGTGCGACCATTTCATCTAGGCATATAAACAGACACTCGAACTTGGCCTCAACTGGCAAGTAAGCACTCAACTTTGAGAGAGTGCACATCTAGACACCTCAAATTGGTCTCAACTGACGAGTTGAGGTGTCTAGATGTGCATACTCAAAATTGGAGTGTTTACTTGCAAGATGATGCCAAAATTTGAGCGTCTGTTGATGTTTTATCAATTATGACTTTCATTTAAGAACGTAAGTTGCATGAAGGTCTGATTCTTTTTCATCAGCTAAGCATGTGAACATTCTTATTCATAATAGGTGCATAAAGGTTAGATATCAATATGTTCTATTACCATATGAAATTGTGAGACGTGCTCATCTAAAGACTTAAAAACTGTTAAAAAGCGCGAACTTTTGCTTACTTAACGATGTTGGATCAATGAGTAGTATTAAGGCTTTTAGGCATGTGAAAGACTTTATTTAAGGTACTTATTGTCCCCTCATGATTTAAACATGTCAAAATTCTCTTTTAGAACCTCAGTTAGAAACCTCTGTTTGCCTTATTATCTTCAACACTGGTGTATGAATTTGCTTTTCAGGAATCCAGACAGGCCAAAGATTCCATTGGAGTAGCAGACTTTCTATAGCAGCAGGTATCGCCGATGCTTTAGCTTTCATGCATCAGGAGCTTCAACATGACAGAATTGCACATGGAAACTTGAAATCATCAAACATTTTCTTGACCAACAACATGGAGCCAATGATCGGCGAATATGGCCTTATGAGCATTGCAGAAATCAGTACTACTACAGCAAGCAATTCCCATTATGTCTTCCCTATAACTGATGAAAATGTAGGAGCAATCTTTAAAGAAGATGTTTATGCATTTGGTGTCATTCTTTTGGAGTTGCTAACAGGGAAAGTGCAAAACAATGGAATAGAACTTGCAAGTTGGGTTGTTTCTGTGCTAAGAGAAGAATGGACAGTTGAAGTGTTTGACAGAACTTTGATACAAGAAGGTGCTAGTGAAGAAAGGATGGTTAATTTGTTACAAGTTGCTGTTAAATGTGTGAACCATTCTCATGAAGCTAGGCCTAGTATAAACCAAGTTGCTCTCATGGTTACCACTATACGAGACGAGGATGACAGATCCGTCGATGTTTCTGCAAGTACTAGTACTATCATCTGATCAGAACTCAATGTTTCAAACTGTTCATCATTTTTCTCTTCAAGAATCTAGTTAACTATTTTTTAAGATTGAATTTTTGGACAAAGGATGTACTTATTGTTTATCATAAGCTCATGAATTACTTTACATTCAACATGTTTAGTAGGAGTTGATTTTCTCCTACTTGTAGCAATCAATGTCTTTGCTTATCTTGATTCAAGTCTATGACATAGATAAGATAACAAATGATCACATTTGCCAGAAAATGCAAGCAGCATGGTCGTTTAAGATGGTTTGTCTCAAGAAACCTATAATTTCTTGGGATCAATGCAATTTTATCTGTGGACAGATTTGACCAAGACTTAATCCAGTGCTAAACCAGCAAATCAAACTCACATCATTGGTAACTTTGGTATTCAAGATTAGTAAATGATCAACTGATAAATTTCTCTATTTGTAAAAGAAAAAAAAAGGAAATTGAATGTGTATATTGTCTATTGTAAGCAGGTTATGAACTTTGACATTAAGACTAACTTCCTGATGGTCACTGTAAAGAATTTACAAATTTCTATCTGATCTTTGAAGAGGTACAGGGAAAATGGAACCACCTCTGTGCACTAATTTGCTCAATATGCTTTTCAAAAAAATCTTCACTGATGTTCCTATGAGGGACGGGCCACTGCTTGGAGCCTAACATCTGATCCCTTGCAGATATCCTCATAAATTTTCTCTACGGATGCAGCGCTGATCATAAGTTATGCCATGGTTGCAAGTCATGTTGTGGTTAAGACTCACGAAGGAAGGTTACTGAAGCCGAAGTACACTGTTCGTTGTTGAAATGCATTGACTGCATAGTCCACCTGGAAATGTCCCAGCTGAGACTTGAATCTAAGGCCATATCCGAAGCCAATTCCGTTTCCTGGTTTGCCATGCCTAAGAGAAGGATTTCCTGAAATGCATCAATGGCTCAAATGTTAGAAGAAAATATGTTAGGAAACGCTTCTTCTGAAACTAGGGTAGTGATATCTGGACAGTGTACTCTTTTCATCCACAAAAAAAGAAAAGACAACCATCGAGAAGCCCAAAATGTTAACGTATGAATTTCTGAGGGATACACATGCGTGAAAGGATGCAGCATTTGTCTCATTGTTTGTTATGAAAGCAGTCAATCATCTAAATATAGAAGTCCAGAATTCTGAGATTCAGAGAGCTTGTACTGTGCGAATGCTGAAGTTCAGTCAATTCATATGATCCAAAAACTAAAGGAAATGTAACCATTGTTGTAATGGACTCAAATGTCAACCCCTATTGCGAAAAGTCTTACCATTTTACACCAACTCCAGAGGCCAGAGCTTTTCGTTTTCTTTCTTTCTTCCTATTTTTTAAAAACTTTTCACTTGTATATCTCATTTAGAGGACAAGCTTTATCTTGCTCGTCGATATTTCAATCTATAAACAGGGAAGATGATGAAACTTTTATATATCATACTACAGAAAGAGAAAATATGTCCTCTTTATGTGTAGAAACCACAAAAGGAAACAAGAAACTGAAAGTATTAATCCTAGAATCTGTTGGCTGACGGAACCAAGTTGCTTTCCCTTTCAACACCTTCCCCTCTCGTTGGATGAAGTTATAATTCTAGGAATCTGGTAGCTGGAAAACAC